GATGCTGCGCGGGGAAGCCAGCGGTCTCTCCTGCTCAAGGGAAGGAGCCATCCAGTCTCACCTCCTTCTCTTCCGCCCTGCAGTGACCTCCTGAGGAAATGGCTTTCTCTCCCGAAGCACGTGGCTCCTGCCTAGCAGGATCCTTCATCTCTTGCGTTGCATTCATTCATTGCAAAAGGATTCCCTCGCTTCCTCCAATGGTTCTATTTTGTATTTCATGCATTCATTCATAATAACGCAAGGAAAGGCCTGCTGAATCTAGGGCAGCGGTCGGCAAACTAAGGGCCGCGGGCCAGATCAGGCCCAATTGCCTTCAGGATCCAGCCCATAGCTGTCAACCGTCCCTTATTTGGCGGGAAACTCCCTTATCCCAGCGCCGTGTCCCGCTGCTGTCCCTTATTGATGATGTCCCTTAAATTTCCCGGGTTTCAAAGGAAGCAGCTCCTCTCCCTCCCTCCCTCCCTGCCGGCCAGGGAGGAGGGAGGCTCCAACTGTGTTGCTTGGCTGCCCGGCCCGCCCCCCTCCGGCCTCCTCTCACCAGCCTCGGCCCCCGGGAGCCCCTCCCCGCCGGGACTGGCGGGAGCCTCGGGCCCTTCCACCGCCATCCTCCTCGTGGCTGCTGAACTGAGCATCTCTGCCTGGGGCCTCCCCTCTGCCCGCTGCTCCCGCTAGGCTGTACTGCGGCTGCGCCGCCAAAGGACCCGGATGAGTTGGGCAGCTGGGCGCAGCCTATGAATTGCTGAGGAGCCTTGAGAGGAGAGCGAGGGCAACCACAGAGAAAGCAGTTCAGAGAGAGGAGGAGGCGGCGGAGGCGTGGGGAGGTGTTCCAAGGGCTAACCACAGAGGGGGAAAGCGGAGGAAGGACCGCAAGCGCTTCTCCCATAGATTTGTAGTGGTAGACTAGCATAGATGGTCTGATCTGCGGGTTTACTTCGGATGCTATTCCCCCCCCCCTCCTCCCGCCCCACCTGATGGAACTGAGAGCTGCAGATGGAGCACGAGAGAAAAGATACAGAACTGCAGCAGCATCTTCATAACTTGGACTTCGTTTTGCGCGAAAAGTGGTTGCTGCTTGTAGTTATTTAATTGCAGTGTTTCATCAGCTGGTGTCTTGAGCAGCAACCTCTGGAAACGAAGGGCTAAAAACCGGCACTGCTCTCCCAAATTATCTGGTCCCTTTTAACTTCGTATTTCAGCTGGTTGACTAAAATCCCTTATTTTGGCTGCTGATCCCTTATTTTTGAGGCTGCTGGTCCTTTATTTTCAAATCTGTAAGTTGACAGCTATGATCCGGCCTGCAGACTGTCCATGGATCGGCGTGGAGATTCTGTTCGTTCAGGCTGCGCCACTCCCCCCCCACGCCATTCCATTCCCCCCTCTCTCACACACACACCGTGGCAGCGCCTCCTCCCTCCCTCCTCCTGGCTTCTCCCCGCCCTGCCTAGAGGAGGAAGGGGGCTGGGCTGAGCTGCCTGAGCACCATAGCACTATTCTATGATTGGGTCGGAAAAACAATCTCTCAAAGGACCTGTTGATGGCATTTTACCATTGTACTGTGGAGAGTGCATTAACTTATGGTCTGTGTGTGTGGTTTGGAAGCTGCACCGTCAGGGGAAAAATAATGCTGTCCAGGGTTGTAAAGACTGCGGAGAGAATAATTGGGTGCACTCTTCCCACCTTGGATCAAATCTATGCTTCCAGGTGCCATAGGAAAGCTGCAGAGATAGCGCAGGATAGTGCGCACCCCGGAAATGATCTCTTTCAGCTTCTGCCTTCTGGAAGAAAGTAAAGGTAAAGGGACCCCTGACCATTAGGTCCAGTTGTGACCGACTCTGGGGTTGCGGCGCTCATCTCGCTTTACTGGCCGAGGGAGCCAGCGTACAGCTTCCAGGTCATGTGGCCAGCATGACTAAGCCGCTTCTGGTGAACCAGAGCAGCACACAGAAACGTCATTTACCTTCCCGCCAGAACAGTACCTATTTATCTACTTGCACTTTGAGGTGCTTTCGAACTGCTAGGTTGGCAGGAGTTGGGACCGAGCAACGGGAGCTCACCCTGTCGCGGGGATTCGAACCGCCGACCTTCTGATCGGCAAGTCCTAGGCTCTGTGGTTTAACCCACAGCACGAAGGTGCAGGGTTATAAAGACTAGGACTAGCCGCCTGAGAAACAGTTTCTATCCAAATGCGATTTTGGTTTTAAATGCAGTGTAAGGTAGTCTCTATGGGAGTATATTGTATTCAATTATGGGGTATCAGAGTTTTTAGGGGGTTAACCAGGCTGGGTTGGTTTTTGAATGTCTGGTGTAGATTTTTTCAATTTTGTTGTTCTGTATGGGACAATGACAATAAAAACTATCGGATCGTACCATTTGAAGCAGCCCCTCTCCGGAGCCAGCCCTTTTGCGCCATTCATCTTCCCTCTGCCACCGCTGCTCTGGTGCTCCTGTGGGCCTCCCTCTGCCTATCCACAAGAAGCAGCAGCGGCGGTGGCAGCCCTTGGGAAGGTAAGCGCAGCGGCTGGGGCTGGGGAGGAGGACTACTCGCTTCCCTTGCCTCTTCTTCCAGCCCGCCCCCAGTGCCGCTTCTCCAGCCCGCCACAAGGTCTGAGGGACAGTGGACCGGCCCGCGGCTAAAATTTTTTGCTGACCCCTGTTCTAGGGCTCTGGAAAGGCCTGCGTTTGGTTTCCAGCAATGGCAACCAGTGTTTTGGGTGAAAGCTCCCTTCTTTCTAAGAGTTCTCCCCTGGGTAGTAAAATGTTGGTGCCTGCACACAGTGGCGTAGCGTGGGTTGCCAGCTCCTGGGGCTGCGTGGCAGGAGGGAAACAGATGAAGTATGCATGCGCATTCAACTGCCTAACAGTGCCCGCATCACCCAGGAGATCGCAGCCAGAGGGATAAGAAAAAAAGTCATTCTGTTGTTTGGGGAGGTCATTTCCTGGTTTCCATTAAGAAGCCGCTTTTAATGGAGCCCAGCGACGGAAGCAGCTGTATTGGGGCAGCACCAGGTGTTGAAATTTTAAGGTTCGAAACAAGGCAGTTTCGTACGGAGGACATTCCCTCCCTGGCTTCCTGTTGCATCAGAACAGAGGTGATGATGTTTCCAATCTTAATGACAGAGAGCAAGTTGATTTCCCCCTTTTCAATGCAAACTGTCCAAATGTGTTGCTGAGATCAAGAGCAATCCCATAATTTCAGGACAGTGGCGCCATCTGCTGGCGCTCTTGTTAAGGCAGGCACTTCCACATCAAAGACTCTCATATACAGCAAAGGCCATTCCATATGGACTGCTCGTATTAATTCATACATTGATCAGGAAATGGGGAAACATTTTACCGCTGAAGATAAAAGCATGTACATAAACACCAAAAAGCAATGCAATTCCAAGAGTCAGGCTGTCCATGAGCATTTAAAGCACATTTCTCTCCCACCCAAAATAATGTGGGGAATTGTAGTTTAAGGGTGCTGGGCAGTGCAGGGTAAGCTACAATTCCCAGGATTCTTTGGGGATGTGTACTTTAAATGTATTATTTCAGAGAATTTATACACTGCTTGATTGTAAAAAAAAAAAGACCCTCAAAGCAGTTTGCAAAAAAGATGATAAAATTATCAATACCAAGAATTTTAAACTTTCAAATTGTTAAAATGAACAAAAGAGAGATGAAAATGTACATCAGCTTTTTAAACATCTATGAGGCCTTGTCTAAAAAATCTTGTTGTTTTTTGCAGGTGCCAAAAAGAGCACAGTGAAGGCACCTGCCTGATGTCAATAAACAGGGAGTTCCAAAGGATGGATGCTGCCACACATAATACTCTGGGCAGCTTCCAACTGAATATTAAAATACAATAACCTATTAAACATTAAAAGCTTCCCTAAACAGGGCTGCTTTCAGATGTCTTCTAAAAGTCTGGTAGTTGTTTTTCTCTTTGACATCTGGTGGAAGGGCGCTCTACAGGGCAGGCGCCACCACCGAGAAGGCCCTCTGCCTGGTTCCCTGTAACTTGGCTTCTCGCAGCGAGGGAACCGCCAGAAGGCCCTCAGTGCTGGACCTCAGTGTACGGGCGGAACGATGGGGGTGGAGATGCTCCTTCAGGTATACAGGACCGAGGCCGTTTAGGGCTTTTAAGGTTAGCACCAACACTTTGAATTGTGCTCAGAAACGGTCGAATTCTCACAAATGCGGAACGCACAGCTTTGATTTGTGCAGGCATTATTTTGCTTCCTGCCATTTCTAAATCGGGGCTAGCAAGATTGCAGAACAGGCCAATCCCGGGAGCAGGAATTGATTTAGCCAGTAAGCCAAGACAGGGCAGAGAAATGAAGCCAGCTGTGGAAGCAACACCTGGAAGTTGCCGGAAGTTGCCAGGGCCCACACACTCTGGGGGGGTCCACCGGTGCCTGAACTCTGCCCCTCTGCCTGCCTAGTCTGTGTGGTTTTCAGCAGGTTGCCAGCAGGTAAGCCTATAGCTAGGGAAGCAGTGTTGTGTAGTGGTTAGCGTGTCCTGGCAAACTAGGGTTCAAAGCTTGGGCCAGTCACTGCCTCTCAGCCTAACCTACCTCACAGGGTTGTTGTAAAGTAGGCACCCCCAAACTTGGCCCTCCAGATATTTTGGGACTACAACTCCCATCATCCCTAGCTAACAGGACCAGTGGTCAGGGATGATGGGAAGTGTAGTCCCAAAACAGCTGGAGGGCCAAGATTGGGGATGCCTGTTGTAAAAGCACAAAATGGAGAGGGGTAGTGAAACCATGCGGATAAGCTTTGGCTCCTTGGAGGAAGGGTGAAATATAAATGTAATAAAAATAAATGATAAAAGCCTCCGTGGTTCTACCACCCCCTTCTTTCCCTGCTAAACTCCGAATGGGAGCAAAAGGCCTGACAGGATGGGCAAAATCTTTTCACATTAAGTTACGCATCTCGATCCCGTCTCTCAGTCAGGAGACCCTCAAGGCGGCAACTTTTTAAACAGAATTAAACAATTAAAAACAACAACAACTTCTGATACATTTTCCTTTATTCATTTATAGGCTTCTCTTCAATCTTTCCAAAGCCTATTGTGAAAAGTCCATAAAAAGTGTTTTACGATATAAAAAATGTTTTTTTAAAAAAATATACAAAAGCCAGATGACTAAAGCCAGGAGGAGAAATTACCTGAGGTAAAAAACAGTCTCTGTTTCTGTTGCGATTCAACAGTCTCCTTATCGGAAGCCTGCCATCCTGAGAGCAAAGCTCATCTCCTTGAGGAACGCAAGAAGAGAGTGGCAGGATGAGGCCAACGGCCCGTCTAGTCCAGCATCCTGTTCTCGCAGGGGCCAACCCGAGGCCTGTGGGAAAGCCGCAAGCAGGATTCGAACACAAGATCAACTCTCCCCTCCTGAGGACCGCTTGGTCCCCAGAGCATCCCTACCGCAAATCAGGCAGGGAGGAACCGAGGTAAGTGCGCAAGTCGCTGATGGTGGAGCGGATGATTTTAGCTGGGATGGTCTCTTTGCCCAGGCGCTTGTAGGCTGCGTAACGGTGGCACCCTCCAAAGGAGTAGAAGTAGTCGCCCCCTTCTCGGCCTTTGATCCAGAGGACATCTATCGGGGGCACATGGTCAGCTTCTTCCTAGGAGGGTAAGAGATGGAGTAAAGGGTGATTCATAAAGAAGGTAAATAATTTTTAAAAGGTGTACTCATAGGTATATCAGTGTATTCAAATCTGAAATGTCAAATTGTGTTATTAATGTTATTACGGTTTTTGTTGTACAGTGGTACCTCGGGTTAAGTACTTAATTCGTTCCGGAGGTCCGATCTTAACCTGAAACTGTTCTTAACCTGAAGCACCACTTTAGCTAATGGGGTCTCCCGCTGTTGCCACGCCGCCGGAGAACGATTTCTGTTCTCATCCTGAAGCAAAGTTCTTAACCTGAAGCACTATTTCTGGGTTAGGGGAGTCTGTAACCTGAAGCGTCTGTAGCCCGAGGTACCACTGTATGTGTCTTTTGTGGTTGTTGTTTGTACTGAAAAAATGATTAAATATTTTTTTTAAAAAAAGTAAAGGGTGATTCATAAATAAGGTAAATTATTTTAAAAAGGAAGCTGTCTTCAGGGGCGGAGCAAGGTGGGTGCAGACTGCCCTGGGTGTCATCACTGAGGGGGGTGACATTCAGCGTGCTGGCCGCCCATGACTCCCGCCTACCCTGAGCCGTCAGGGGAAGGGGGGGCTGCGGTGCGCTCCTGTGCTGCTGGAGGAGGCATGCAAAGCAAACAGGCAGAGGGTGGAGGTAAGGAGAGAAGCAGAAGCTCCTTAAACCCTGGACACAAACCTTGGAATCCCCCCCCACCCCCAAAAAATTTATTTCAGTTTTCATTTAAGAATAAACATGAAACCTTTCTCCTAGGAATAACGTCACCAGAAATCAAAAAAGAAAATAGACCACTTTTTATGTGTGCAACAGTAGCAGCCAGGATCTTTATCGCAAAGAACTGGAAAAGTGACAAAACACCTACGATAAATGAGTGGCAGCTCCAAATGATAGAATATCTACAGACGGACATGATGACAGGGAGAATTGCCTTCAGATGTCTTCTAAAAGTTAGATAGTTGTTTATTTCCTTGGCATCTGGTGGGAGGGAGTTCCACAGGGCGGGTGCCACCACTGAGAAGGCCCTCTGCCTGGTTCCCTGTAACTTGGCTTCTTGCAGTGAGGGAACTGCCAGAAGGCCCTTGGCACTGGACCTCAGTGTCCGGGTTGAACGATGGGGGTGGAGATGCTCCTTCAGGTATACTGGACCGAGGCCATTTAGGGCTTTCAAGGTCAGCACCAACACTTTGAATTGTGCTCGGAAACGTACTGGGAGCCAGTGTAGGTCTTTCAGGACCGGTCTTCTATGGTCTCAGTGGCCGCTCCCAGTCACCAGTCTAGCTGCCGCATTCTGGATTAGTTGCAGTTTCTGGGTCACCTTCAAAGGTAGCCCCACGTAGTGTGCATGGCAGTAGTCTCTGAGATTAAATCTCATGCTCTCCCAATTGAGCTATCAGCTCCCAGGAATGTCCGTTCCACGTGCCTGATTTCTGCATTGCAGGGGAGGTTTGGACTAGATGACCCTTGGTTTCCTTCCAACTCTACAATTTTATGACCACACGTGCAGGGCCAGATTTAGGTTTGATGAGGCCCATAGCTACTGAAGGTAATGGGGCCCTTTATATGTCCAGTTGTCCTTTGTCAACAGCTGTTTTTTGTGTTGAATATATATGGTAACTTATGGACCTAATAGGTCTCTAAAGCCATTTGCACATAACAATATATGTATTTTATCAAAGTAATTGTTGAATTTATCTTATATTTTGGAAATGTACACTCAGTTTTTTCCCTTTAAATTTTTTTGGGGCCCCCAAGAGAGTGGGGCCCTAAGCCAGACATAGGCAAACTCGGCCCTCCAGATGTTTTGGGACTACAATTCCCATCATCCCTGACCACTGGTCCTGTTAGCTAGGGATCATGGGAGTTGTAGTCCCAAAACATCTGGAGGGCCAAGTTTGCCTGTGCCTGCCCTAAGCTATAGCTTGTTTAGCTTAGGGTTACCAGATGTCCCTGGCTTCCGGGGACAGTCCCGGATTTGCAAATTTGTCCCCGGGAAACGTGGCAGCGGCAGCCTCAGCAGCAGGGAGCCAGCCTGTTACCGCAGTTGGCTCTGGCTGGCTTCAGGAGCTGCTTGCTGCTCGCTGCCGTGGCGCCCACCGTTTTTCCTGCGCCATGGCAGTGAGCAGCTCCTGAAGCAAGCCAGAGCCAACTGTACTACCAGTCTGGCCCCTCCTGGGCAACGGCTGCCCGCCCGTGACTCCCGAGCCTCCCCTGATCTGCCAAAACAAAGGGGGAAGGGGAAGGAGATCGGGGAAGGCTCCGGAGTCACGGGCAGGCGGCACACCATTGCCCAGTTTTTTAAAGAATTGTGCATTTATGTTTCACAGGGTGCAAAAAAAGGGCTTTGCACCTTTATACAATATGCATGTGTCCTTGAGCCCAGGGTCTTTTGCCTCACCATCCCCACTACTGACCATAGCTGTCAACTTCCCCCCTTTTTTTTAAGGGAAATTCCCTTATTCCGAATAGGATTCCTCGCAAGAAAAGGGAAAAGTTGACAGCTATGCTACTGACTCCCTGCTGCTACTCAGCTTCAAAAAAAAAAAAAAAAAAAAAAAAAAAAGGTGTCCTGATTCAATGAAAAAAAATATCTAGTAACCATACTTTAGCTTATATAGTGGTACCTCGGATTAAGAACTTAATTCGTTCTGGGTGTCCGTTCTTAACCTGAAGTACCACTTTAGCTAATGGGGCCTTCCACTGCTGCTGCGCCGCCGGAGCACGATTTCTGTTCTCATCCTGAAGCAAAGTTCTTAACCTGAAGCACTATTTTTGGGTTAGCGGAGTCTGTAACCTGAAGTGTATGTAACCTGAAGCGTATGTAACCCAAGGTACCACTGTATTGCATTCCACACGGTTCAAATTGTAAGACGGTAAAAAACAATGTAAGAAATAAAGAAAGCAGTGAAAAAGGCAATTAAAAGGCAATTGAAAGTAATACCCAGTATGATGGATAGGCCGTATCCCATCTTCAAGAACAAACCCACTGACATGCCATGGATTTCCTGAATGAAACTCATTAGATCACTGGTGGTGTACCAACCACAAGGTGTGTTACGGCTGGGCAATATATCGTCCAAAACCGGTTTCAAGTCCATATTATAGTACTGAATTCATAACTTTTGACCTGGCAATACAGCGGTACCTCGGGTCAAGCACTTAATTCGTTCTGGAGGTCCGTTCTTAACCTGAAACAGTTCTTAACCTTAGGTACCACTTTAGCTGCCGCCGTGCCACCGAAGCACGATTTCTGTTCTCACCCTGAAGCAAAGTTCGTAACCTGAGGTACTATTTCTGGGTGAGCAGAGTCTGTAACTTGAAGCGTCTGTAACCTGAAGCGTCTGTAACCCCAGGCAGTGGCGTAGCGTGGGGGTGCAGGGGGGGCCGGCCGCACCGGGCGCAACATCTGGGGGGGCGCGCTCGCACTCGCAGCTCTCTGCCCCTACCTGGCTCACTCACTCTCTCTCACTGCAGTGCTGGCTGTGCGAATCCGATCCGAGCCGCTGGGTCGCCGCCCACTGTGGAGGGGGTGGGTGCCAGGCCTGTGGTGCGGAGAGAGAGCGAGGGACTATCTGGGGGAGGGACAGTGCAGCGGCCGCCCAGCGCAGCGCTGAGCGCGGGTGAGAACCACACCAGACCAGCCCAGGCAGCAGCAAGAAGAAGCTGGCAGTGGCGGCAGGTTAGGGGTTAGGGGGCACAAATTACTTGCCTTGCCCTGGGTTAGGGGGCGCAAATTACTTGCCTTGCCCTGGGTTAGGGGGCGCAAATTACTTGCCTTGCCCCGGGTTAGGGGGCGCAAATTACTTGCCTTGCCCCGGGTGCTGACAACCCACGCTATGCCGCTGACCCCAGGTACCACTGTAGTAAATCCGGCACTGCGACACGTGCGAAGATCAGAATGTTAGAAAAATGTTGGAATGAAGTTATATGGCTTTAGTAGAAACGTTACAAGGAATTACGTATAAATAGATTAACAGAGTATTAAAGGAAAAAATAAGGTTAGAATGTGTTAAGATAATTATAGGATAGAAAACAGAGGAAGATGGAAAGGAATTGCTGAAACAATTAACAGAAGTGGAATACAAAAAGGGAGGTGTGAGGAGGTCGTGGAAATAAGTGAATGAAAGATAAGATATTGAAATTGTTTGATTTATTTTAAACTGTTTTTGTTTTGTTAGCTTAATGTGTTAGTGTTATGTAGTGTTTTTGTATTGTATTGTATTGTTTTTGTAGTGTTTAAATTGTTGGAAAAGTAACAGAATTGTTAGAATCCAAAACTAAGATTTTGTCAAAGATGTATAACTTGCTGCTGAAATGGAATACTCAGGATGAAACGGTGAAATCTGCTATGATTAAATGGGCACAAGACGTTGGACATAACATAATGATGGCTGACAGGGAACAGTTGTGGACCACAGGTATGAAGTTTACGGCATGTAATGCCTTAAGAGAGAATATTATGAAAATGATATACAGGTGGTACATAACCCCAGTCAAGCTTGCAAAAATCTACCATTTGCCTGATAATAAATGTTGGAAATGCAAAGAAACTGAAGGTACATTCTTTCACCTTTGGTGGACGTGCCCAAGGATTAAGGTTTTCTGGGAGATGATTTATAATGAATTAAAAAAGGTATTTAAATATACCTTATCGAAGAAACCAGAGGCCTTTCTCCTGGGCAAAGTCGGCCAATCGGTGTTAAAGAAGGACAGAACTTTCTTTATGTATGCTACAACAGCAGCAAGAATACTTATTGCAAAGCATTGGAAGACACAAGATCTACCCACACTGGAGGAATGGCAGATGAAAATGATGGACTACATGGAATTGGCGGAAATGACTGGCAGAATCCGAGGCCAGGGTGAAGAGTCGGTGGAAGAAGATTGGAAGAAATTTAAAGACTACTTACAGAAATATTGTAAAATTAATGAATGTTAGAATGATGTTGGATTGAAGTTAAGTGGTTTCTAGCTGTAATGGTATAAAAGAATATGGAAAAATTGGTTTTCAATACGTAAAAACTTAATGCTATAATATATTAAGATTAAAGATCAGGATTAAAAAGGAGGGAAAGGAATTGCTGGACTAACAAATTGAATTGGAATACAAAAAAGGGAGGTATGAGGAGGTCCGGGAAACAAGTAAATGTAAGAGAAGTGATGAAAAGATGGAATTGTTTTTAATTGTGTTTTTTTTGTACTTTGTATTTTTCTTTTTTCTATTGTTATTTTTCTTATCAATGTAATCTTTTTCTTTTGAAATTTTAATAAATATCATCTAAAAAAAAAGAGAAAAGTAATAAATATTATTTTAAAAAAATTAAAAAAAGAAGATCAGGTTGACCCCTGATTCTCTCTCTCTCTGTGTGTGTGCTTTTTGCCTGAAGCCGTACCTGGATCGTCTTCATGAGGCTCTCCACCTTGCCTTCCTCCAACACAGGAGCGATGGGTCTGATGATCACCTTCATGGGCACCTCGTGGACCGCGGCGATGTTGTCCGAATGGATGCTGCGCCCTGCGCCGCCTTCGCTTGCCATGCTGGCGACGTTTTCGGCCCCGATGCGCCTCCGCCTTCCCAGATCCGCCCCCAGCAGCGCCCTCCAAGCTCGCGATCTGACTCCCCACATCCCGGGGCTCATATAACGCCGTCCGTTTGGTTTGCACCGGATCGCACCACCGCTGGGCCGCGGGGGTGGACGAGAGAGAGAGGAAGGGAAAGAGGCAGGCGGAGGAGCCACAGACACCCCCCCCCACTTGCCTGGGCCGCACGACGCCTTGTGAACCCGATCCCCGATGCCGCGCTTGCGAGAGAGCAAGGGATCCCCGCAGGATCCCGACGCCCGTTCCCCCCCCATGCAGTCCCCAATGGAAGCGTCCCCTCCGAAGGAATCACACGCGCACGTGGGCAAGCGCTTTTCCTGGGCTGGGTCAGAAGTTTTTGGGCTGAGTCACGATGAGGCAGCAGAAAAGTCGACGGAGGAGGAAGCGAGGCGCTGCTGCGATCTGGACCGGGGATCAGCCCCGGAACCGGTTTCCACTCGTCCTGAGGAACCTGGGGGGCAGGAAGGGCCAGGGGGAATTCCTTCGTATGGAGGGAAGCCCCAGCTTTCGGCTGCCGAAACTTTCAGCTGCTGATCCTTTTGGGAAGAAGGAGGAGTTGATTGTTAGAGACCAAGAAGAATCGTAGCTCCATGGCATCGGGGCTGGATTGCCCAATGGGCAGAGTGAACACGTAGTTAGGTCTCACAAAGCAGAGTCACCAAAAATAAATGCGGTAATCAGGGCCGGATTTAGATGGGATGAAGCCCTAAACCATGGGTAGGCAATAATAATAATAATAATAATAATAAAATTTTATTTATATCCCGTGCTCCCCAGCCAAAGCCGGGCTCAGAGCGGCTAACAACAGTAAAATGATACAACATTCTAAAATCATTTCATTATAAAATCAATTCAGAGCAGATTAATGGCAACCATTCTGTGAGGATTACAGTGGAGCCTCGCAAGACGAAAATAATCCGTTCCGCGAGTCTCTTCGTCTAGCGGTTTTTTTGTCTTGCGAAGCAACCCGCTTAGCGGATTAGCGCTATTAGCGGTTTAGCGGCTATTAAAGGCTTAGCGGCTTAGCGGCTAAAAGGCTATTAGCGGCTTAGAAAAAGGGGGGGGAGCGGAAAAAATCGCAAGACTCGCAAGACGTTTTCGTCTTGCGAGGCAAGCCCATAGGGAAATTCGTCCTGCGAAGCGCATCAAAAAACGGAAAACCCTTTCGTCTAGCGGGTTTTTCGTCTTGCGAGGCATTCGTCTTGCGGGGCACCACTGTACCGAAGGAGGGGGTCAGACTGTGCCTTGGCCAAAGGCCAGGCGGAACAGCTCCGTCTTGCAGGCCCTGTGGAAAGATGTCAAGTCCCGCAGGGCCCTGGTCTCTTGGGACAGAGCGTTCCACCAGATTGGGGCCACAGCCCATGGATGGTCTGGGAATCAGCGTGTTTTTACATGAGTAGAATGTGTCCTTTTATTTAAAATGCATCTCTGGGTTATTTGTGGGGCATAGGAATTCATTCATCCCACCCCCCAAAATAATATAGTCCATCCCCCCACAAGGTCTGAGGGACAGTGGACTGGCCCCCTGCTGAAAAGGCTTGCTGACTCCTGCCCTAAGCTACTGAAGGTAATGGGGCCCTTTAGATGTCCAGTTGTCCTTTGTCAACAACAAATTGCCACTGTTTCTTGTGTTGAATATATTCTCTATGGTAATTTATGGACCTAATAGGTATCTAAAGCCATTTGCACATAACAAATAGGCGCCTACACAACACAAAACACTGTTGCTGTGTGTTAAACACTGTTGCTGTGTGTAGGTTTTGTTTTATTTGTTTTTTATCTTATATTTTGGAAATGTACATCCAGTTTTTTTCCCCTTTAAATTTTTTTGGGGCCCCCAAGAGAGTGGGGCCCTAAGCTATAGCTTGTTTAGCTTATATGTAAATCTGGCACTGATGGGGGGGTTTGGGGGGGAGAATTAAATATTTATACCGAATTAGCCATGGGCGTAGCCAGGATTTTTGTTGGGGGGGGGCAGAACCGATGTCATTGGTCAGTTAAGTATTTCTATTAATTTAGGGGGGCAGTTGCCCCTCTGCCCCCATCCCCCCGCTACACCCATGCAATTAACCATCCTGGGAAAAATCAGGGGTTTGTTAGACTTCCTTACACGCCTCCTAATATTTTTCTTTTCTCTTTTTACTGCTTATCCCCACCCCTAAGCTTAAGGGGGGGCCACATCCTAATGACATAGATCGAAATAATGCGAGGAGATCAGATCTGGTCCTGTGTTGCAAAGCACATGTTTGCACATGCATTTCAGCATAGCTGTAAGCTTTGTGCTATTTAAAAAAATTTTTATTTTACAGTTTAGTATTTTTTAATTCGAATTACGTATGTGTGGTGTGGGCACCACAGTCTTTTCAGCCCTCTGAAGGTCTGGATCTTGACCTGGAGCAGAGGGGAGGGGTTGGAGCAGAGTGTTTCAATTTTCCCTTCCCTGGTTCCTTGGTGCTTAAATTCTCTCTCTCTCTCTCCCCCCCCCCCCTTTTCCAAAGTGCACCTTGTGATATTTATTGTGTCTCCCCCTTTTGCCTGCGGCATAAATCTGCGCTGTTTGAAGTTTCTTAATCTTTCCCTTAGGCTTCAGTCTTTAGAGACGTCCTTAATTTTAAAAGCATTAGGTGGGTAAATGTCATGTTTTATGTACTGTACAGTACTTCCTGATTTCGCAATGATGGTTGGCCCCTTTCATGACATCAGGCTATTGCATTATGCTTCCTTCTTGTCACTAAGAACGAGGTCCAAAGATGTTGGTTGTTTGTTCATGTATTTCCCTTATTAGTCAAGAGGTCTAGTTCATGGGTAGGCAAACTAAGGCCTGGGGGCCGGATCCGGCCCAATCGCCTTCTCGATCCAGCCCGCGGACGGTCTGGGAATCGGCGTGTTTTTACATAAGTAGAATGTGTCCTTTTATTTAAAATGCATCTCTGGGTTATTTGTGAGGCATAGGAATTCATTCATTCCCCCCCCCCAAAATACAGTCCCCCCCCCCCAAGGTCTGAGCATAGCTGTCAACTTTTCCCTTTTCTTGCAAGGAATCCTATTCGGAAGAAGGGAATTTCCCTTAAAAAAGGGGAAACGTTGACAGCTATGGGTCTGAGGGACAGTGGACCGACCCCCTGCTGAAAAAGTTTGCTGACCCCTGGAAATGCTTAACCTTCAAAATACCTTTTTGCTGAAGGATTGTTATGGAAGAACTATACATTTGGGGGGGTGAGATAGATCATGTTGAAAGAACCTGTGCCTATAGGTGTATCCGTTGCTAAAAGAACCTCCATCTTCATAAGAAAGTCTAGCTCACTGCAAGCTGGTTGCTGGGGACAAACTGTGTAGAAACCTTTGGGGGATCCAAAATCTCCATAATGAGGACTTTGCAGCTGGGAAGGTGGATTTGCGGGAGTGGGGTGAAAGGGGAATTTGGATCTGCTTGGGAAGAAGTCAAGCTATCCTAGTATTCTTCCCGATGATGTACCGTATTTTTCGCTCTATAAGACGCACCAGACCACAAGACGCACCTAGTTTTTGGAGGAGGAAAACAAGAAAAAAAATATTCTGAATCTCAAAAGCCAGAACAGCAAGAGGGATCACTGTGCAGTGAAAGCAGCAGTCCCTCTTGCTGTTCTGGCTTCTGAGATAGCTGCACAGCCTGCATTCGCTCCATAAGACGCACACACATTTCCCCTTACTTTTTAGGAGGGAAAAAGTGAGTCTTATAGAGCAAAAAATGCAGTATGCTGCACCATCAGTTGGGCAGTGTACTTTGCAGGGTTTTGTGAGCAAATCCAGGACAACCCACATCTCTTGGTGGTGGGTGCAGTTTTTGTTCTCTAAGGGAACAAATGCCATTTGGGTTTTCTGAAGCATGCATCTACAGTGGTGCCTCGCAAGACGAAATTAATCCGTTCCGCGAGTGTCTTCGTCTAGCGGTTTTTTCGTCTTGCGAAGCAACCCTATTAGTGGCTTAGCGGATTAGCGCTATTAGCGGTTTAGCGGCCATTAAAGGCTTAGCGGCTTAGCTGCTAAAAGGCTATTAGCGGCTTAGCGGCTTAGAAAAAGGGGGGGGGAGCGAAAAAAATCTCAAGACTCGCAAGACATTTTCGTCTTGCGAAGCAAGCCCATAGGGAAATTCGTCCTGCGAAGCGCATCGAAAAACGGAAAACCCTTTCGTCTAGCGGGTTTTCCGTCTTGTGAGGCATTTGTCTTGCGGGGCACCACTGTACTCTTTTAAAAACAGGTGGTCTTTTCAGCAAAGGAGGTGTGACAAAGGTGGGATTACTGATGCAATCTTCCCTGATCTGGGGCCAGCTTTCGGGAAGCAAAAGTCTCCCCCTTTTGGGCTGGCCTTTGTGGGTCCTTGGGCCTTTGCAGTGATCCTTCCTCGCATTTGAACCTCCTTGTCTCCTTAGGTGTGCCTGGCCCTGTGTCTCTTGCAGGGGTCGGCCACCTAAGGCCCGTGGACCCCTGCCGCCCGCTCCATCGGCTCCCATGCGCCACGCTAAACTGGCGCGTAGCAGAGCGGGGACCACCCACCATGATGATGGCCAGCTTCCCATTGGCTGCGGAAAGCTCCTGCGGCCAATGGGAAACTGTGCACGCCTCCTCCGTGCTGGAAGGAGTGCCAGAAATAGCGTTTGTGCATGCGCGCGCACACACACACTCTGGCCTGCCGCAGCGTCTGCGGGACCATGAACCAGCCCAAGACACAACAACTTTGTTGACCCCAGGTCTATAGCTTTTGGTGATTGGTAAAGACCCACCTTTTCAACATCTGTTTGGAGGAGAGACCTGCTTAGACAAAGGGATTACCGTATTTTTCACTCCATAAGACGCACCCTTTTCTTCCTAAAAAGTAAGGGGAAATGCCTGTGTGTCTTATGGAGCAAATGTGTGGTCCCTGGAGCCGAATTGTCCAGGGGTGAAAAGCAGATCATGCTCTCTTCTTTTTTTGAAAGAGGGAAGTGGGTGTTGAAACAAAGCCGCTGATCAGCAGGCAATCAGGGAGGGAGATAAGGGACGCTAGTAATAAAGGAGGCTGCCTGGGAGGGGGGAGGTAAAGACAGGGAACTTGCAAGGAGAGGAGACAGGAAGACTAAAGCAATGAGGAGAGAAATTAGAAGAAAAGGAGGAGCAAAAAACTGCTCCAGCTAAGGAAAAGACACTAAGGCAAACAAGAGGGAAGGGAGTGTTGAAAGGAAGCAGCTGATCAGTAAGTGATTGGGAGGGAGATAAGGGACACTAGAGATAAAGGAGGCTGCCTGGGAGGGGAGAGGTAAAAGCCCATGGATCCTCAGGATTTTTGCATTGGGTCACCCCAAATTCACAATCTGTTCACATAGCATGTCCATAGCTAC